TTCTTTCCTTTTTTATTTGCCAGGAAGTGCTCTGGTGATTTGATTCAGGGCCCTGCCCTTGCTAGGCAGGTGCTCTTCCACTTAAGCCCCATCTCCAGCGCCGCCCCCCTTTTATGTCGGTCATGGGGCCTGAACTCGGCCTGGGCACTGTCCCTCAGCTCTTCAGTCCATGACTAGTGCTCTACCACTTGAGCTACAGCACCACTTCCAGCTTTTTCTGCTTATGTGGTGTTGAGGAATCGAACCCAGGGCCTCATGCATGCAAGGCAAGCACTCTACCACTGAGCCATGGTCCCAGCTCTCCCTCTCCTTTTTTTTTTACTGGTTCCTTTCAAGGTAGGATGATGTTTTCTGCTGGGGCCAGCTTGGACTACATTTGCCTTCTTGTGCTTTCAGGAATCACAGGAAAGGAAGTATTTTACATGTATATGTGTACATATATATGTATATATATATATGTATATATATATATATACACACACACACACATAGATACATAGCTAACACTTTGGAAAGATATATACCATGGCACTAGTCAGTTTTATCTCTGAGTAGGTGGATAGTAGAACTTTAATCTTTATTAATTTTATTAATTTCTTATTCCTTGTTTTTCAAATTACAAGGTATATTCTTTTATTGTATAATAAAGGCAAACAAAAACCCTAGAGATTTCATTGTCAGGAATTCTACTTGTTGTCACAAACTATGGACCTAAAAGTGTTAAAAAATGACTTTGTTGCAGTTTGACCAAATATTTCTAAAATGTATAATCATGATTTTTCCATGTGCTACCATCTTTGAGTTTAGGAATAGAAAGATTTCACAGGTATCTTCTGGAGCAGGTGGTAGCTACTGACTCCACCAATTATCCACCAAGGATGATCCATTTGGGCTTCTAGCTTTACCTGTGATCTCTTATCAGACCTTTATGGGGACGGATGTTTGATTGACAGGACTAGAAAGCAGCCAAAGACTGTTCAGAAGCGGCAATTATCAAACAAAACTCACCACGTGATAACTCGAAGTCATCTTTTATTATATGCATGAAAAATATTATGTTTAAGACCTCATAAAATATCAAACCAGGATGGATAATGGTACAGTTATATAATTGCTAAAAGGATGCCAATCAAGATAATTGATATTTTACTTTTATTGCACTTTTTTCTTATATTTTTATTGACATTGTTCTTTCTGTCTAACATCTACGTAAAATTACTGCCTCTCAGGAGCCATCAGTGACAGTACTAGTGGTAAGTAGTAGATTTGAAAATTTGTTCCCACTTTATAAAATGGAGACTTGCTGCTCTTGGGCATTTGAAGATACAGAGCAGAGAAAAAGAATTAAAACAGAGAATGTATTAGGGAGATAAAGTATCTTTGTTTTCTTCTGAGAGAAATAGTGATAGTCCTATAAAATTTAACTCTGGCATTTCTTTGTAGTGGTGGAGAGGATCTGGATGACTTATCAGAGGGAGTGAAGTATTAAAGTTATCCACTATTATTGTGTGTTTGTTTGTTCATAAATACATTTTAAGAAACAGGATCCATCAATATTCAGTGAATATAAATTTAACAGTGGTATATTTTCCTTATGTATTTTTCCCTTTATCAATATTAGATGACTTTCTTTGTCTTTTGGTCTGAATGTTGTTTGTCAGATATAATTATACCTACTCCTGCTGCTTTCATACTTTATTGACTTGGAGTATCTTTTTCCATTCCTTTAAACAGTGTGTCTTTCTAGAGGGGTGATTTTTTGTAGGCAACAAAGAATTGTATCTTGTTTGGTAACTCAATCCAACAGTCTGTTTTTTAAGTTGGAGAATGGAGACTATTGTTATTATTGAAAAGTTTATGAGAATTCCTGCCATCTTGTTGTTTCATAATGTTTTATAGTCACCATTTGCTTATCTACTCTTCTGGTGAGATTTATTCTTTCTCATATTCCCATAGTTGTGATTATCTCCTATCCAGTTAAGTATTTCCTGTAGTGCTGGCTTCTTGGACATAAATACATTTAATTTTGCTTATTGTAGGAGGCTTTAAGTTATTTTTTAATTATAAAAGGGAGTTTTGCTGTATAGAGTAATCTAGGTTGCTAGCTATTTACTTTGAAGTACACTCTTCTATGTTCTCATGGATTTTAGACCTTTTCTGACATCTGCTGTTACTCTGGTTGATTTTATATAGGACTTGGCATTTCTCTATTGTAGTTTTCCATATTCTGGATACCTAAATATTTCTAATTATGTCTCTTTGGTACTCTGCTATTGTTTAAATGAATATGTTTTCTGTGCCTTTAGCTTTGACCACTTACGTCTGTGAATCATGGCTTGGTCTTTTAATAGTGTTTCAGTAGTCATTTATGTTCTGTTTCTATTTTGTTTTGTTTTCCCTTATTCTTGTCTGAATTTTCTAATATATCTATCTTGTTTTCAAGCTCTGGTGTCCTGTGCTTTACTAGACTTAGTGTACTGATACTAATTTTAACTGAGTTTTTCATTTCCAGAATTTTAAATTTGACTTTTTTTTCTTTTAGGACTTCCATATCTTTATTGAATTCTTCTTTCATAACCTGCATTGTCTTCCTTATTTTATTCTACTTTTTATTTGTATTCTCTTGGAATTCCAGTTTCATCGGTATTCCCTTTAATTTCATTGATCATGCTTAAAAACTTTCAAAGTCTTGAGGGTTGCCTCAGTTTAACTATCATTAGAATCCATTATTGTGGAGTTGCTGGTTTTAAGGAATCTCATTGCTTTTTTTCATATTTCTTGTGTTTCTGAAAAAGATTTGTGTGCCTGAGGCACAGTGGTTGGCTAGAAGTTTTAATCATTTATATTTCTTTCAGTTGTATTATTCTCATTATTCAGGCAGGACTTAATAATCATTGAGGCATAGTTTCTCAACACTGGTGTGGGAATTTACCTTAGTCAAACACTGATCCATGTGTTCAGGTCACAGGTTTCTATCTCTAGCACCACTCAGAGAGAAGTATTTCCTACTGTTCAGGCTGTAGAGTGTTCAGGTTGAGGACTGTCCTGGTCAAAGTTCAGTTGTCAGTTGTAGGGATGCATTAATTTTAGTAGCATTTTTAAGTCAATGCTGACCCCATGAGTTTCTCAGCCTGTTAGTCAGGTAGGTTCCCAATTGCTCCATAGCCCTCAAGTTAGTACCCACACAAGGCAGCAAGCATCTAAAACTAGTGGTGATTTCCAAATGCACCAGAGAATAAAGGAAGAAAACAAGGCACTGAGTTCTGCACAGAGGGCGGGGCGGGGGGGGGGGGAGGGAGGAAAATCATAAGAATCTGGCATTCTACCTACCAGTCTCAGTGCATTTAGATCTCATCTAGCAATTAATCACCCTGTGGGAGGGAAGAAGGTGAGGATATTGAGCTGTCTGCAGGACTCTTTGGTCTACCCAGCAACAAACCCCATGCAGCAGAAAGGCAGCTTCAGAAAGTGAGCAATATGCCAGCCCTAGGTTACAGCTCTGTTTCCACAGTGACTTAGCAATGGAGCTCATTCTTGCCACAGAGGGTGGGCCTAGTGACCATTCTTCTCTTCACTGCCTGAAGTATTGTTTAAACTCTTTAGCAGGTCCATGTCCAAAACATACTCTCTCTATAAACACCTGTTATAACTTTCTCTTATTCAAACACTCTGAAAGAATATCTCCAGGTTTCCTGAGCTGTGAGTGTATCCCTATTTTTGCAATTTTTGCATTCTTGAACCAAGCTCCAAGAACAGTTTAGTCTTAAATAATAGTCACTGTCTTAGGATGGCACCTGGCTATAAGCACTCTAAGTTATGAGAGTAACAAGCCCACATTGTCTCCAATGCTGTTCCGCCACCAGGGGGAGTCACTGTCCTACTAAAGTCCTCCACTGGCTAAGGCTTGAGCCATGAACTAACCCTGCAGCTAGATCTCTGGGCTGTTGTCACCCACTCCCCCCTCCCCAAACACCTGCCCAAATACTCCTGAGAAGCTAGAGTTGCATGTTTCCTACTTTTTTCTGTATATCTTCCTATTTGTCAGTGATTTCCTGTTGTCTTTTTATCTCTTTCATAATTTCCAATGTCCTTTCTTTCATTTGTTCTTTCTCTTTTTTTATTTTTATTTTTTTAGTCTTTTTTGGGGGAGTGGCGGGTTGTGGGGCCTGAGCTCTGGGCCTGGGCGCTGTCCCTCAGCTCTTCAGCTCAAGTCTAGCACTCTACCACTTGAGCCACAGCGCCACTTCTGGCTTTTTCTGCTTATGTGGTGCTGAGGAATCGAACCCAGGGCCTCATGCATGCAAGGCAAGCACTCTACCACTGAGCCACCTTCCCAGCCCTTGTTCTTTCTCTTTGTTTGGAATGAAATCTCAAGTCTTCTCATTCATGATGTTAATTGGAGGAATCTTCTAATCCGCCATCTTGCCTGCAACTCAAATCTTTCCTCCTGTTGTTAAGTCAGTCATTCTGTCACAGTTACAAGATAGATAACTAGCACACTCTGTAGTTATCCTTTTGCTTCATGTCTTTAGAAAACAATCAATAACACAAAGTCCCACTTCAGAGTAATAAGATTTATTTTAGGCAATGAATTAAAGCATACAAAGTAATATTTGTCATGTTAAGTATCAGTTACCATTAAGTGATGGCCATTAGACATACTTACATTATTATTTCTAATAAGAAAGTAAATTTACAGACCCATACCAATGGCCTTGATTTAAGATAATCTGAGAAACTTGTGTGGAAGAATAGTTAATAAAGATATGTGGGTAGTTCTTTTTAAAAAATGATTATACTTTACAGTTTCAGAAATTGCATCCTTAATTGTTTTTAATAACCACAGAAGGACAAGAAATCAGATTACACTCTCAAGTAGGACGGCAGAAATCTTTGGAGTATGAAGCTTATCATTCCAACCACCCACTTCTGTTGTTCACGAAGCATCTGCACACACCCTTTTAACAGCTGTCATCCTGATACCTAAGGAGCTGAACTGAGGCTCAAGACTACCAATGGCACGTATCATTGTGATGTAGAAACAAACTACTATTCTGGTCCTTTCTCAGCCAGGGGTGGCAGGTATGTTTCTGGGTGTTCTTCTTCTGCCAATCTCCTTTCCTCCACTTTCTGAGACGTCTTCATCTCCACCTTCAGGCATTCTCCTTCATTTTTCTCCTTTCTGCGCTCAGGTCCCTGAAAGAGAAGAGGAAAGGGTAGACATACACAGAGTAGTTACTCATTCTCTGTTTCTCTCAACAATGAGATGTGAAAAAGTTCTGATCATGTTGCCAATGTCCGCAGCTTACTTCTGGAAATAATTAGCATAAACTAAATCTATTGTTTTTCTAAAGATTTTGGTCATACAGGGAAAATAGAAGAATTGGGCATGACATCCAAGCTAGAAAAGAAGTTCAGCCCATACATGACTGTGACTATCCATTTTTGATGTACCAAGGGATGTGATTCCACAGTACAATAAAATTAATAGTCTCCTGGAGCTTTGTGATTTAGAAAATGAGGTCATACATGCATTATTTTAAGCTCCTTATTGAATTATATAAATACTTTGATTTGCACTAAATTTTAATGTGTGAATTGTGTGAGGAATGAAATGTAGACCAGACTGGCATTCCCCACCAAGTTGATTAGGATTTAGATGGGGAAGGATGTCCATATATATTCTCTGAGTTTATTAAACACACACTGTTTTCATAGCACCAGGAGACACATCACTAAACAGACTCTACCTTCTAGATACTCCAACTAGGTTGATAGAGACAGAGACCATCAATAATAAGCACCAAAAGACCTAAGAAAGTAACTGATGGTAATTAAGGTTGCTGATAACTATACGAGAATAGTTCATACATAACTATTTAGTTTTGAAGTGCCTTTTAAGGGAATTACATAGCAAAAAAAATGGCATTTAAATGTCGTGGTCATATCTATCATATCTATGTACATTTCTATTTTGAAGTACCAAAGTAACTTAAAAAAATCTCTATTCCTCCACCTCATTTCAACTCCTCTGAGTGCCTATATGACAACGGAAAGTTTGGGAGGAATCTTAGTGCAATGGTATGCTACTCTAGAATATAAATTGTGTGTGTGTGTGTGTGTGTGTGTGTGTGTGTGTGTGTGTGTTTTAACCCAGATTTCATTTCTTTCTGCAATAGTTCATTTGCTAGATTCACAAATCAAAACAAACAATGAATCTGGGAAATGTATTAAGAAAAACTTCAAAATTTGTATCAAACCTGTAAATGTTCTGCCAAATAAACTTTCAATAAACTCATCTCTTGTATTCAACTGATCAGCAGTCATGAATGCCTTTTGTGAGTGAGATGTGTGTTCTGATCATGGGGCTCACACTCAGGGTTTTAGCCACTGACCCTGAGCTTTTGTGCTCAAGATTAGCACTCTACCACATGGAACCACAGCTTTAATTCTGGATTTTTTGGTGTTTAATTGGAGATTAAACCTCTCACATACTTTCCTGCCTGGGCTAGATTTGGACTGTGAGCTCAGATTTCAGCCTCCTGTGTTGCTAGGACTACAGGTGTGAGTCACCAGTGCCCAGCCATGACTATCTTTAATAATTATAAGAACACTATAAAAGGGAAAAATACCATGATAATTATTCCCAACTTGGGTTTGCCTTATTGACAATAAAGACTACCTAAGAAATCATTATCAATACTGATATGAAATATAGTTTCTTGTTTCATTACTTGGAAACAAAATGGGAAACAAAATAAGTCACTTGAAAACGAAACAATTTGGCCAGGTGGGATGGTATATGCTACAACCCTATCACTAAGGAAGTCTCAGGAAGGAAAACTCAGAGTCTAGGCCAAATAATAAGTTCTAAGCACCCCTGCACCTCAAATTGGTAATACAGTCAGCCCTCCATGCATGGCTTCTGCACCTGTGAATCCAACTAACAGAGAAATCAGAGCTATTCATTCAGAAAAAAGTGTCTATAATAAAAATGTACAGACTTATTTCTCATCACTAATCCCTAAACAATATATACAATAACCATTTGCATAACATTCACATTATATTAACCATTAGAAATATTTTAAAGATAACAAAGTATTTGGAGGCATGTCTGTAGCTTATATGGACCTTTTACAGAAAAGATTTGAATCCACGAATTTTAGCATCCTGATATGGGTTGCTAACTTTAAGAATACTTTACCTACATTTTTTTTTTTGGTGGGTCGCGGGACCTCAACTCTGGGACTGGGCACTGTCCCTCATCTCTTCAGCTCAAGGCTAGCACTCTGCCACTTGAGCCATAGCACCACTTCCAGTTTTTTGGTAGTTTATTGGAGATTAGAGTCTCATAGACTTCCTGCCGGGGCTAGCTTTGAACTGTGATCCACAGATCTCAGCCTTCTGAGTAGCTAGGATTATAGGCATGAGCCACTGGTGTCCAGTTACATTTTTTAATTTTCTGACAAATGCTATTTTTTAATGTGTAGGAAAGTATAGATTATTATTTTTTTTTTCCGGTCGTGGGGCCTGAACTCTGGGCCTGGGCACTGTCCCTCAGCTCTTCAGCTCAAGGCTAGCACTCTACCACTTGAGCCACAGTGCCACTTCCGGCTTTTTTCTTTTTGCTTATGTGGTGCTGAGGAATCGAACCCAGGGCCTTGAGCATGCAAGGCAAGCGCTCTACCACTGAGCCACCTTCCCAGCCCCGAAAGTGTAGATTATTAACTAGAAAAGAATTTTAAGAGAATTTGTATATGTTGAAATTTTTATTCTGCATTAAGGCACATTTTAATAAAATCTTTAAAAACTGACATAAATAAAATATTTTAAATTAATTATAACAAATTGAGTGTTATTTTTAAAACACTCATTTCTAGTTATGAATAAAGAAGTCAGTTCTGTCCTTAAGCATCAGGATGATAAAAAAAAAAAACTTTGTGTTTCCTTTCCTACAATGACAAATTTTCAACAGTACATACCAAAGTGACAGAATGTTTGGCTTTAAAGTGCAGTTGCTGTTCAAAGGACTCTGAAAATTCCTGAATATGGGAGTGAGATTGTTTTTTTGATTCCAGTGTTTCCCTGGATGACCCATCCATTGAGTATTTTCTGTAATACCGCAAATGAGGATGGCTTTGGGATTTCTGGTCCTCATGAGAATGCCTTCTAGGGTGGTTGTCAGATGATGTAAATTTGGGAAGCCCAGGAAACTGGAAATACAGAAAAAAAAAATTATGAAATAGTTTTTACAATAGGAGAACGCAGGCAGAATGCTCATACAACACTAACTACGCAAATTGTACGTTTAAGTGACATTTAATTTTATCAGCATCAACTAATTATAATATTAAATAGGGTATCTCAAGATTAGCTTTATTGCTTGCTACTTGGCCAATCCTATTGCTTCTGGCACAATGCTTGGCACAGAGTAGATGCTCAATAATGTGTTAAATGTTCCATCTCTATGTTTTCAAGTGAGTTATGAGACTAATAAAGACAAATTGAAAAGCCCATCCAAAGTGTCCAAGAAGCGTCCAGCAGTAACTCTGATCTTTGGGGTCCCTCTCCATGAAGAGTCTATGTCACTTTCCCTTCTTTTCTTTTCTTTTTTAAAGCTTTCTCTATCCACTTTAAACACTTAAACAGACAAGAAGAAATCCTTCCCATGCATGTAATATTATCAAATATAGATTATCAATAGATTGTGAAAAGGAAGTTATTTAAATTGGAGTTTTGGGGAAACAAAATGAGATATAGGTAAGATTAAATGCTTCTTTTAAGTTAATTTCATTAATCTCAAAGCAGAAAATAAAAATCATAAACCAAATTATTCTCAGATTTCTAAATTAAAGAAAAGTGTGTAAGTAATGATTCATTTTACAAATACCTCATATTATATAAACAGAGAACAAAGAATCAAATGTCCTGTTTTTCAGAACTCTGCCTTTATCACCTATGTGTCCTGATTTGTGCTATGTGTTATTTCTTTCTCTGCTTAACTCAGTCAGAATGTAACTTTTATTTTATGGTTTCTATCCCTAAACTAACACATTCCTAACACAGGAATGGCAGTCTGATAGCTACAATTTTTTATGTTGATATGGAAAATCCAGTAGGAATGCAAACTAGTGCAACCACTCTGAAAGGCAGTGTGGAGATTACTCAAAAAACTAAAGATAGAACTACAGTAAGCCAGTAATCCCCTTCTTGGCATCTACCCATAACATTACAAGTCAGGATACAGCAAAGACACATCCATGCTCAGTCCATACTTTTCATATTAGCCAAATCATGGAGATAGCTCAGATCAAGATAATGTGATATATGTGTACATATTCTATTAGAATACATATACACATATTCAGAATAGCATATAATTTTCAGAGGAATAGATGGATCTCGAAAAAATACGATGTTAAATGACGTAAGTCAGTCTCAGATAAATGGTGCATACTTTCTCTCATGAAAACATATGGAGAACATTTGGATGGCCTGTGAAGCAGGTGCCCAGCCACTGGTCTGACTTTGTGTTTTATGTGGCTGCATTCTCATTACCTACCGAAGGGGCTCAAAATACTTGTGCCACGATAAAAATGGCTATCTGAGATAAAAAAGAAAACATTCACAAGGTTATATGCGTGTACACACAAAAACAAATTTACTAAAGGATAGTATACTTAGGGGAGGAGTCCAATGGTGTAATTCCTCTGAACAATTAATGAACCATTCAACAAAATAAACACCAAGACCTGAAACCTGTTCTGCTGAGGATGAGAGGGATGGCCACAAAAGGAGAGTACAGGAATGGAGGGAGGAAGGCTGAACAGATGCAATGTTTATATCCATTTTTTTTACATAATATAAAAATGAAGTACATAACTTGAGGGTAGGGATGGGAAGGAGAATGATGGGACAGGGATGGAAATGTTGACATTGATTAAGATTTTTGTTATACTTACGACTTGACTCATGCAATCGCAGTCCCTTCATACAAGTATTTAATAAGAAAAATGTTGAAATGCCCTGTGTGGGGTTGAAAGTGTAGCTCATTTGGTAGAGTGTTGGGTAATGAGCAAAAGTGTCAGGTACCTGGTTGGAATCCCAATCTTGGAACTTCACCCCCACCTCCCAAAAAAGACTTACAAAGGTACACGCATGAAAAGATGTTATGGGAAGACCAAGCAGAAATACTGAACACGGTAAAGCTCTTGTTTCCCAATAGTACAAGGTAAGCCACATTGGAGGTTAATGTTAACTCTCTAAGTGTTTTAGGATGGAGTGTTTGAGCTTTAAAATCTAATGTAATTTACTCAAGAAACTCATTTTGTAAACCATGGTTCTTCCTTTGTTTTCACATCTCCTGTATTGCAATAAATGATATGCCACAGTTTTTCTCTCTGTAGATTTATGCCTGTCTTTCACATCTGGAAACTGGCAGCCAGTCATACTCCTGGTCTGCACATTGTACATACCTCACTAGGCATGCAACATTTAATTATATTGAAGTTAAATGCGGACATTGCCAGCAGGTATGATGTTGGGGTTTTTTTTTTACAACAGAATCATGGAAAGTTAGGGGTGAAAGGCTGATCAAAGCATTGAATCTCTTCTTCTTCGCTTAAGAAAATGGAAATGAAGAGAGACTGACATTCACCCTCCATCCCTGGATGTCATTTGGTAACTGATCTATTTCAAACCGTTGGAACCAGAGAGTCTCCTTCTAGCTGTTGACCTCTAACAATGAAGAGGTTCCCCTTCACACTTTAATTCCCCTGCACACTTTAATAGATCTCCCAAGAATTATCCATCAGAATTATAATTCTGGGACCTCAAATAAAACTATTCATCTACTCTAGAATGTTCTTGATGCTGGGGTTGGCAGAAGCAAGGGGTGAGAGACAGTCTTTGGCATCTGGAATTCGCAGTGCCTTGTTGTTACTAGTGTGTAACTGTGATATGGAGGCCATGGAGGTACTGTAGAACTTTGCTGCACCACAGCTGAGAGAATGCTCAGTTGCTCCTGTGGAGCCCACATCTGACCAGCCCCACTCATGGCCCTCCCTGGAGCTTGCTGTTCCCATCTTGCTCCCCAGACACCTGGTACTCTGCCTGCCATGTGGTCACAGGGCTGGGACACGAGAATTCTGGCACCTTCTCTCATTAGGAAATCAAGCCAATATCAGAAGGAAAAATATATCAACTGTATCAAAGGTTATGATTTATTATGTATAATCACTGATTTTATAGAGATCCACCCAACAGTGAAGCTACCTTCAGGATTGCAATTAGACTAATCAGAAATCACACAATGACACACAACAAAGCATACAAACACATGCACGCACGCACGCACACATACCTGCTAACCACAACATCACACAAACTAGAACATCAGGTTTCCTTTATCTTGAGCTCTGTCATCCAGGCTTATCAGGACCCGTGAATAGTAGTTAAAGATATCTTAGATGACTACAATGAAGAAAATATTACCTATCAGAAGCCTTAAAGAACAAGACAAAAGGGATTTTGTAAATATGATAAGAGGTCTGAAAGTGCTCCTTTTTAACTAAAGAACTTTTTAATGACCATTTCTAAGAGAGTTCCCCTCCTCTATGGCAGCATTCCCCTGGGTAGATAATAGTAACTCACTGGGCAAGGCAGGGAGGTTTTCCTGTAACTGGACTCTTGTGGTCGGTGGCGTTCCCGAAGTCTTCTCTCGTCCTCCTCTCTCCAGCTGTGCCCCCAGAAGCTGCTCATCCATTTGGCAAAAGATACATCTTCATCATCGTCATCTTTGTGCTCCATGCAAAAGTGATTCTGAATATTGAAAGCCTGTCCCTATAGCCACCAGGGCTGGCTGGCTGAAACCCCAAATCTCCTCCAAAAGACAAAAATGAAACTGGTAGGTTTAAATGGTCTCTAATAATGGCATCCTTAAGGAGAAAGATTTACTAAACAACCACTTCATCATCAGGCAGCCTTGGAGCCTTGGGCAATGTCTATTTATAAACTGTGCAGCCCACACTCCCCTCCCCCTTGTCTTTTTAAATTGAGAGGCTTTTTAATCCTCCCATTGCTGGAGCTTGTGCCTTGCAGCCTAAGGGTAGGAAGCACAGTCCACTGCCTGATTTTCCCTGTGCTTTGCTGCCAGTGGCATGTGATGGCATCTCCAGATGTCAATGGTGATGAAGCATGACCCTCACAATATGCCTGTCAGCTCCAGGCTGCCTCTGAAATGGGGCCACATTCAACAGACACAACTGCAGCTAGCAAGGTAGCAAGTTATTGCCATGTCATAGGAGAGCTAGACAGTCTCCTACTAGACCAAGCAGATACTGATAGAAAATCCAGCTCCTGGGTTAAACAGAATAGTATTTTATTGAAACATTGCCTAGCTATGCAAATATAATGTACATCTTAGATGTATCAATCTGAAGTGAATGGCTTAATGAAGTTTAATATATGTATACACCTGTTTCCTATTTGTAGAAATAGGTGAGCATGGAATGTTTCAGGCTGCCTCTATCCCCTTTCAATCTATATTCCTTTCAAAAGATTGCTACTTCTTACCTCTGTCCCTTGAGGTTAATTTTGTCTATATTCAGAGTTTTCTTCAATGGCAACTGACTAATAGGCTTATTAGCTTATTGCTTTGTTTCCCTCCATCTAGTTTTCGTTCTGATAGTGCCTGGTAACTATGATTTAGGAAGGCCTGTTGCAACTCCCTAATGGGCTTTGTTGAGTACAAAACCAAAAATAAGCCCTGTCAAGAAATAAAAGAGATTGTTAAAGCTAAGCTATTACCTGAAGCAAGTAGGAGACAATGCGAGTTATTTCTTTCTTTTTTTTTTTTTTTTTTGATCGGTCGTGGGGCTTGAACTCTGGGCCTGGGCACTGTCCTTCAGCTCTTCAGCTCAAGGTGAGCGCTCTACCACTTGAGCTACAGCGCCACTTCCGGTTTTCTGGTGGTTTATTGGAGATAGGAGTCTCACAGTCTTTCCTGCCCAGGCTGGCTTTGAACCGTGATCCTCAGATCTCAGCCTCCTGAGTAGCTAGGATTACAGGCGTGAGCCACCAGCGCCCAGCTAAGTTTAGGATCCTTTAAAGGTAGATTCATATAGATGTTTTTCCAAAAGGTGACTGTCTTTGAGACCAGCAAATTCCTCCTCTGAGACATTTTACTCCTCACTCTTGAGCAGTTCAGGGATGCTGATCACACATCTCTGCTTGGCTCTTATTTACTCCCCTGCGACTGGAGGCCCTTGAAAACGAACTCTTTGATTCCTCCATCAGGCTACAGTAAATATCCCATGAATCTCAGCGAGGGGACCCTGTGAAGAATGTATAGGACTTTTAGTACAATCAAACAAAGTAATCTAGAATATAGGAAGCAAGAAGAGAGAAAAAAAAGTAGAGTTGGATTCTTTTTCTTTTCTTTAATATAGCTTTGGGGAAACTAAGGTATGTTTTATGAAACACACCAGAGGCTTCAGCAAAGAGAGTTGGTATGTGAATAGGGAGCTGGCAATGTAGCCTGCAACATTCGCTGTTCTCTAGAAAATGGAGCTATCAATGGCGTTTGTCTCTTGGACATGCCACACCAACTTTAGGAAACATTCTGATTTATATCCTCTGCATTATTCTTTATCTCCCAAGTTTTGGCAACTGCTAGAACATGAAGGAACATATTACTACATCTCTGTAGTTACAGAGACAACGTATAGACAGCCCAGGATTCTTTCTTCATTTTAGAGGAATTCACCAGCAAATAAAACTATGAGAGAAATAGACACTTTATGGGCATTTTAATATAGGAAAGTGTTACCCTTTGAAAATGAAATATTCATAAGAGGCTCATATATGGAATATGTAGTTCCTAGATGGTATTGTTATTTGGGAAGAGAGTGGAGATATTGCTTGGTGAGGCTTAACTGGAGGAAATAAGTCACTGGGCACACGGCTTTGAAACTTAATCCTTGTCATTAGATAAGCCTCCTCATCCATTTGCTCCCTTCATATCTGGCACCAATAATAGAGTCAACTGACCATGGGTTGAAGTCCATGGGCTGTGAATCAAAGCAAATCCTTTTCCCATCTAAGTCAACTTACCATGTATTCTGTCTAACACTGAGCAACTAGCATAAAAGGAAAAATGTTCCTTGTCATGCTTCTTTCCAATTTAAAACTGTGTTTATGGGACAAAGGTATCATTATTACCATCAGCAGCAAGTCCTTGAAAAACATCTTCATCAGCATCTAGAAGCCAAACTTGCTGTTGTTATAGTAACTCATTCTTTGTTTGCCTGAAAAAGAGAAGATAATCACCATAGAAGACATAAATCATACCATTAACAAAAACATCATTATTATGAGAATCAGTGGAATAATAAGTCAAAGATTTTTCAAAATGAGTGCTTTAGATTATGACCTAAATAAGATGGCAGAGAGAATAAAGGCAGGAAACGTTTTCATAAGTTAAACTGATGAATATGAAACTCAGCTTTCTGAATGTGACCTCACAAGTTCTTTCATAGAACTTTATCTCACCTTTAAAGATACAAAGTCAAATGGTTGGATGCAAAAGTACAAACAAAGAAAGAATAGGGATGGGTTATTTTTAAACACTAAAGCCCACAATAATTAACACAACTGATTAGATGTATTTATCTCGCTACTACAATTATCTGTAAGTGCATTTCAATCAAAAACATGTCTATTTAATTGTCTACCTTTACTGGATAATCTTTCTATAAATTCTACATTGGTTCAAATCATGGTTATCAACTTGAGATTTGCATTCCCTTGTCAAAAGACCTTGAGTAATAATAATAACTTCTATATAATACATTCAAAAGCAATGAAAGAAATGGAACCATGCTGCTTGTTAATCAATGAGTAAAAACTAGTAAGTGAATATTGGTGCTTTATAGCTCTGACCAATACTCAGTCCCTATCATAGGCAAATTCTGAGGTTTACTTCTTGTTCTCAGATATTAGCCATTACCAAGTTATGACATCAGAAGTGTAAACTGAGTTTAGTTTTCAGAAAGACAAGCTGGGTTCCAGTGAATATATCTATAATCCTAGCTAGTCAACAAGAATGTTGAGAGCAAACAAAGTAAATAAACAAAGAAACTTGTTCATTGAAAGACTTCCTGGAATATTTAACATAATAATAATTATTGCAATGGTCCTAAAACAGACATTGGGCAAGAGCCTATTATTATTATTACTATTATTATAATCGTTATTATTTGAGCCTCTCTGTCGAATGGTCATAAGCAACCTAAACAATGGCTAAACAATATTATGAAATAAGAACTAGGATTTAAGATGTCTTTCTTTCTCCTTATCATTTTATTTATTTATTTATTTGTTGGACATGAGGGCTGAACTCTGGGTCTGGGCACTGTCCCTCAGCTCTCCAGCTCAGGGCTAGCACCCTACCACTTGAGCCACAGCACCATTTCTGGCTTTTTTCTGCTTACGTGGTGCTGAGGAATCGAACCCAGGGCCTCATGCAGGCAAAGCAAGCACTCTACCACTGAGCAAACTTTTTTTTTTTAAACATCTTTGGTTTTACTTCATATTCAGTCTTTGTGAGTATGTGAATTTCTGTCCAATCACTTTAGTAACAAAAGTGACATTCTTAGCACTTTTCTTACTGGTATCAGATGGTAGAAATGTTGTGATGTTATCTATTTTTTTTTAAAGCTTATGTTATACAACTCTGTCTAATCCCTTTGTAAGTAACTTTAGGTAAGGTAAATAAAACTAAAACTTTTTTTTTTTTGTAAAGAATGCAGTACATGCAAGCCAGGGTTTTCTCAGCCTTAATTGCCTGTCAGAATAGGTAAGATCTGAGCTAACCCAAAGGGTAGCTGAAGATAATTAATTGTTTGTCACAAAGTCTGTAAGGAAATAGGAACAGAAACAAAGAGTGAAGTAATGAGAAATTTGTGTAACTGTTTCATGTCATTGATAATTAAAAAATAATTTAAAATTGTCTTATTTTACATATTTTGATTTCACTTTTCTAGGAACTTGTTTTCATTGTATTTTACAAAATGACTGGTCTGTGATGGATTGGAAAAAATTAAACTGGCTTTTCAGCCCTGATAGTTTGGAAAACACTGGCCTAGAAAACATTGCCAGGTACCGGTTACCCCATGGCTCTAAACTAGAAACATTTAATCTATATCTAATCTATATCATCTCTACTTTGGGGAGTGTAGACATGCATCAAGGACTCAGCTTTTTCCAAGATGTCAGCATTATTTCAAAAATCAAACCAATACCGTCGGTATTCACAGTTGAGAAAGTCAGAAACAATATGTAATCAATAGACAAACAAATAACTGTCTTATTCAATAGCAGTTCCTGCTCTTTACAAGACATCTGGCTAGATATTTTTCAGGTGTTAGTCATAAGTAATAGAAAACACCATTGTGAAAGTTTACACAGTTTGGATGAAGCAGAGCTAAGAGTCGCTGTCTTTACCAGATTCCAGAATTCTTTCTTCCAGTTTGTGTGATTGGCAGCCACCTGTATATCTTGACTTTATCCTCACCTCACTCATACCCTGCCTATCTGTGATTAACGAGTCAGGGAAATACAATAGTTTCTGTTGCTGTCAGTGGAAAGAAGCCAAGAAGTTGTAGGTTTGGTTCAGCAGCTAGCAGGGACCATTAGGGTTGCAGCTCTGTAGTAGACAGGCCTGCTTGGCGTGGCAGCTCAGGGCAGATAATGCCTGTTTGTGTTGCACCATAAATGCCAGTGTTGCCCGAGTCTCCTTGGGTTTGTGTCTCAGGAGTTGGAGGAATGCAATCCAGGAAAATGGAAGATGAGTGTGAAGATCTTTCTTTATTCAGAAGAGAAATAGCTAGCTGGAAGGTTGCCACTGCTCTGTCAGTCAGCTAACCTTTTTTTCAAATGGCTCTTTGTCTC